CCTGTGTTGACCACTAACAGGTCAGGCCATTATAGATATTGGTCTATGGTGACCATTACAAAAGCTACAATCATCTTGCCTTTGGTGGTTCAGGGCTGCCACCTGGCTCCTGCTACCCCAGGGCCCAATTAAATCCATTGTATTTAATTTATCCAACTGAGCAGCATCTCCAACCCTAAGGTCTGGCGCAAGGAAAAGGGCTATGACAAAGTTCTTCAAATGTGCTGGTGCTCTCGAACCATTTTGAATCTTTAAAAAAACTTTTTTTTTTTTTTTTAAGATTTATTTATTATATATACAGTGCTCTGCCTGCATGTATGCCTGCACGCCAGAAGAGGGCACCAGAGTCCATGACAGATGGTTGTGAGCCACCATATCGTTGCATGGGAATTGTTCTCCTTAACACCATTTCTAACTGTACAAACTTCTATATTAAACCTAGAATCTCCACTTAGTGGATCCATATCAATAAACTCAGCCTGACCCTGTTTTATGTTCCTTCCCCATTATCCCACACCCTTAAAAAAACAATTCATTCCCACACATTTTCTCCAGACTTTTGCTTGAATGAATTAGAAAACTCATTAAGCTCCTTAGTGTTGTAGCACACCTACTCATGGGCTACACTTTCTGCCTCCCCTCCCGGAGCTTGCTTAGCCTTAAGTCTGGTTATAGTTCTAGAGGCAACTGTTGGTGGGCCATCAGTGACATCAGTATTGTCTTGTCTGGCATCTCCTTCAAGCAAAGTCTTCTACACTGGTTAGGCAGACAATGAAGGATTAATTTCCCCAGGCAAAGGCTGGTAGAGCAATACATCAGGGGTTGGGCATGAGGGGGGAGACTTCTTCCTGAGGTTAGATAAAGCCTTGAGAATCTGGGAATTCCAAGTCTCCAGCCTCAGCAGGGTCTCTCACGAGAGTCTGTATCCTATGACAGCATCCTGTTCCTTACCAACCAGTACATTAACTGCTGGCACCCTCCAAGGCTGTGACTTGAATTTTCATCTTAATTCAGCCAATCTTACTGGGGGTTTGGGTTTGATTTTCTGAAATGAGCTAATGTGGCTTCTGGAGAGAAGATTCTGTGTATCTGGAGCCTGGTCAATTTTATCAGAGTTCATTGTCTTTCCTCACTGTATGCTGAGATGCTAGAAGAAGCTGGTTAATTTTATCATGGGGCTCATGCTTGTCTTTGACCATTTTATCTAGAGATGCTAGAAGCGATCAGCCAGCATTGTTATTTTCTCACAAACTGTCAAAAGTGCTATGCATGCAGCCACCCAATTTCTTGCTTCTCACAGTTAGTCAGGATAATCAAATCTATTTGTCTCGATAAGTTTGCTCTCTTATGCTTCTAGGAGAGGCTTCAGTAACTGTAGGTGTTGGCCTCCTGGAAGCTTGCCAGGAAGCTTACTTGGAGTACCAGACTGGCAGAAACAAGAAAGACCCTGCCTCAACAAGATAGAAGAGAACTTCCAAACGCTGTCCCCTGACCTTCCTATGAACATGTGCACACATTTTTTTCTCCTACATCACTAATGGAACCAGAGGTAGCAAAGTAACTGAACTGTGGCTAACCTCTATTGTCAACTTGACAGGATTCAGAAACATCTCTGGGCATTTTCCATAAAGCAATTTCCTGAGATTACCTGGAGGGAAAACCCATCATGAATGTGGGTAGCATTATCCTATGGAAGTTGTCCAAAACTGGTTTATAAAAAGGATACAGGATAAAGCCAGCTGTTGCTACAATTCCTTCCCTGGGGTAGATGTAAGCACCTATACCTTCTAGGTCCAGGCTACAAACTATGGTACCATTTCACCAAAATTCACTTGGGGAACCAGTTGCAGAGCATAAGTGAGAAGTTACTGGAGTGGGATGACCCTGCCAAATGCCACACCAGGAGTCTTCACCAGAAGATATGAAAACCGCCTCCCCTCTTTCCCCAGTGTTCTCCACCTATTTAATCTCTCCCCAAGGCCACCTTGGGGAACAGCTGGAAATAAAGGTTGCAGGGAGCTGCTGGGTAACAATGATCCTTCCCATCCACTTGAGGATGCCCAGCTGGGGTGCTCTTTTCCAGGTGAGCACAACTTAATGCTACAAGACATGGCTGTCCTGAAGGATATTCCCATGAGCCACCAGCTAAGCACCAGAGTTCCCCTCTATTTCTTATTTAGGTTTCTTTCTTTCTTTTTTTTTTTCTTTTTCAAGACACGGTTTCTCTGTATTACTTTGGAGGCTGTCTTGTAACTTGCTCTGTAGACCAGGCTGGCCTCCAACTCACAGAGATCTGCCTGCCTCTGCCTCCCGAGTGCCAGGATTAAAGGCCTGTGCCACCATTGCCTGGCTCACCTCTACTTCCTGACTGGAAACAATATGATGTGTTACCTCACACTCCTACCACCAATGCCTGTCTGAACCTGGGTCCTCTGCAAGAACAGTATGTGCTCTGAGCCTTCAACTTCTGGACCAATTTTTGTTGCTTTGGAATCTACCTGAATATACTAAACACAAGGAGCTACATCAAAATGTCTACCAATAGAGAGCAATAATGCAACTAGCTGGTCTTTGGATGATAACTGTCTAACTACCACTCTGGAGTGAGGTTGGTCATGGTGGAGGGATATGGCAGACTTGGGGCCCATGGGAACTCTATGCCCAGTTTTGCTATGAAAGAGTCTGACAACTCAGTATATCCAAGCATTTTATTAAGTCAGGTAAGGAATCTTCACATTGTTACATACCGGCTGTATACATTTATAAGGGCATGTCTACAAAGATAGCTGAGCGTAGGTTGGCAAGTTCAAAATTGAAAGGACATTCAAAAGCTAACACAGTAAAGGTCATGGGAATCCTAAAGCAGCGCATCATGACAAAAGCTCACTCCTTTCTTATCAAAATTTACCAGAATAACCTGATGAGTAACAGGTTATCACTCAGATACACATTTTACCTAAGAATACGAAACCTCTTACCAACTTACTGTTTTGATTAGAAACAACCCTCACCACAGTAAAGGCTATTTTTATTAAAGAGATTTATGGCAAACCCCATGCCCTTTATTCATGTGCCTTGAAATCCCATTAAGGTTATGTATGATGATAGTCAAATATCGGTACAAGAGAAAAATTGTGAAGATTGAAGGGACTTGAATAGAAAACAATTCAGTGAGGCTGTAAAGTCACTTGGGTGAGTGGTGCCAAGAACCTTGAGATCCTAGTGACTCTTAGGTGGTGGCTTTGAATTGCCCCATGACAAAACTGATTAGAAGCAGATGGCTAACTAGTCCTTGTTAACGTGATCTTAAATCTTGTTCATTCATATCTATATAATTTATAGCTACCATACTGATAGTGATGGGCAGGTACATCAAGATCCTTTTGCAATCTTTGTTTCCCAACACCCTTAATTCCTTACTCCCTATCTTTCAAAATTCCCTTACTTTAAGCCAAAAATGGATTCAAACCTGCTTGAACTACATTTAGGAAATAACATGCAAATAAAGGGAGATAGTTAAAATTCATTTATCACCAGCAAACATTACAAATGTATGCTTCTATTCCATAAACAGAAAACTTCGAGAAACCAGAGATAACAAAACACCCACATTAAATTGGGGGAAAAAAAAGACCTTGGAAGTAATGATTTTTCTGTACAGCAGTTGAATTTACCCACCAAATGCTTAATGACCACAAATGCTTTTGCAACTAAAACTAAGGAGTTACAGGAAGTTGGGAATTCATGTTAGATACTAACGATCTTCAAGCTTTGAAGATGTCATTGCATGAAGAAAATTATGGGAAACACTGTTCCCGATAATTACGTACACCCTTAGTGTAACATATGGAGATCACTGTCTCCGATATAGACACTGTGGTAGGCAAAAACTACCTTGTTCTTTATACATTATGGAAGACACTGCTCCCGATAATGTGAGTTAAGTTTGTGACAAAGGTACTGGAAATTTTGCAATATTGAATTTGAGTTACATCTTGAATAAATTGAGCTGTAAAAATTTTCAGATGTAAGTACTACCACAGCCTTTAACTTGGCCACAACTCACTGCACCTAGGAGAACTATCCTTTTTTTTGGACAGTTGAAAGTCCAACTGGATTAGGAATCCCTTGTTACTTTCAATTCTCTTCTACTTCTTGTAACTAATTGTACTTGTACTAATTGGCTTGTAACTTTCTCCTAAAGCCTGCAAGTGCTGACCATAAGTGCAAAACTTCCAGTATCTGTTGGGTCTTATTAGCAGATGCTGCTTTATTAAAAGAAAACGACAGTATAACTGTCATAATTATGGAAGGCACTGCTTCCGATAATTATATTCTATAAAAAAAACACTATTTATAGTGAACTCTGTCACTGATAAATAAACAATAAATATCTCAGTGCCAAAATGATAGAGAGCTTCCTCCAAAGACTAACACTTTGGCCAAAATTTGGCAGTGTGTTCTTTAAAGTCTGACAAACTGAGTCTAAAACTTGCTCTTTTTCAGAAAATGTCGGGAAAAACAAAACAAAGAACTAAAGACTACTGGGCAGATGCCAGAGGAGAGAAAACATCATGTCGTCTTTGATTCCTGGTCTCCTCATAAATAATGTAAGGTTAACCAGAAAGGCCTATTCCTGCAGTAAGCAGACAAACTTCCTTTTATCAGAAGGACCTATGTCAACCTTGCTGGCAGAAACAAGTACCGTCTCTAGTTAAAGTAACTGTCTAGTTTAGGGAATGGAAACCAGCTAATCCTAAGGGCACACAGCTCATCTGGAGAATCCCAATGAGGGTCAGATGAAGGTGGGGAACAAATAGCACATTGATCCTCAGCATCCACTGTCCTCCCACCTCAAAAGATACTAGCTAATGCCCTCAAGACTTAGAGCAAAGTTCTTACAATTGGTTCCCACATTTTCATGACCACAACGCAAAGAGGAAGTTATTACAAAGAACTCAAAATTCTAAAGATAAACTGAGGCGATATCATGAACATGGAAAGTGTTATCCACTGTAACTTCAAGTGTAGGTCCAACCCTGCACTAAAAGCTGCTGCCTAAAGACATTTAGTATCAGGATGATCGGGTAGAATTATAACATTAGATTTGAGCTCTAATGAAAATTTAGCACAACCAGTACAAGTCTAGAAACAGACTGCCCTGCTCTTATTTAATTATGTTACATTTAAAACTCATTGTCAATATCCCAAATGTCACCAGAGAGGGCATTTGCAACTCCCTGAATAGTCCAAGTAGCTAGGGCCAACTGGTTTCTGAAGAGTGTTTCGTTAAAAGCACTACTGTTTTTCTGACGAAGCTTCAAGTTCTCCACTAAAGCCGTGAGAGTGTGAGAGCCGGAACCCCAGAAGATGTGTCGGAAAGGAGACTCTCTTGGAGATACGTAGGGTGACAGGAAGTGATATTCCACCTACAAAAGAAAGGCAGCTTGCACAGTGCTTTAACTTGTGACTCATTTTCCTTTCAAATGTTAAACTTGCTGAGACTACTGAGAGCTTAGTTATATTATTAACTTTTTTATTTTTGGTTTTTTTGAGACAGGGTTTCTCTGTAGCTTTGAAGCCTGTCCTGGAACTTGCTCTGTAGAGCAGGCTGGCCTCCAACTCACAGAGATCCTCCTGCCTCTGCCTACTACCACCCAACGAGTATAGAGATATCTTAATTAAAAAATGTAATGTATGGAGTCAGGGTGCACCAACTACTTGCCTTGGGGGGCAGAGGCAGGTGGATTTGAGTTCAGGCCTGTGTGGTCTACAAAGTGAGTTCCAGGACAGCTAGGGTGACACAGTGAGACCCTGCATGTGTTGTGTACCTGAGTATACATGCCACATAGTGGGGTCAATTCTGCCACCTTTACAAAGGTTGCACAGTAATCGCTTTGACCTGCTGAGTTGTCTCTTGGGTTCTGATGTGGTTGGCTTTTGTGAGACAATGTCTCACTTTATAGTTACAGATGGATCTGAATTTTCTATGTATACCTCCAACTCAGATCTACTTGCCTCAGTGCTAAAACTGAAAGTTACACACCACTATGCCCAGCCTAATTCCTAACTAACATAAATCTTATAACACATCCAGTTTCTCCCAAATTGACTAGGATAATAAGTAAGGTTTCACTCATGACTAATACTAAAGATTTCTTCTGAAAAATTACTAGGGTTGGACTAGAGAGATTGCTCAGTGGTTAGAAGTTAAGAACACTTGCTGCTCTTGTATAGGACCTGGGTGTGGATCCCAGAACCCACATGGTAGTTTAAAACTGCAGTAACTCCAGCTCCAGGATCATTAGCAACCTTTTCTAGCCTTCTCCAATACCAGGAACATACAGGTATGTATATGTATATGTAAGCAAAACACTCATACACATAAATTTACTACTCCTGAGCTTTCTTTGCCATTTCTAAATGTTTTTGAAACATAAAACACAAAATTGATGTCTCTTGTATGTCTAGGTTAGATATTACTTTAAGATCATGAAATTGAACCCAGGTCCTCTGGAAGAACAGCCAGTGCTCTTAACCACTGAGCCATCTCTCCATTCCCTGTGTGTTTAATTCACACGTAACAAGTGGCCCCCAGTACTCGCCACTTTTATATAGATAGCATTGCTAACTAAAACTACCTACTTAGGAAAAAAAGCCTCGAGGCAGTGCACAGACCTTTAATCACAGCACTCAGGAAGGAGACAGAGGGAGGCGGATCTCTGAGTTTGAGGCCAACTTGGTCTACAGATTGAGTTCCAGGACAGAATCCAAGAGCTACAGAGAAACCCTGTCTATAAGTACCAAAAACACAAACAAAACCAAAACAACAACAAAAAAACTACCTACTTCAGCTCCTTCTTTCCTAAGAACATACTTACTTTCATAATACGGTCATTGATTTCCCTCACGACAAATCTGTTTGTTTTCTCAGCATTATGGAAATCAGTCGTCAGTCTAGATGTAGCACGGAAAAAGTCTCCACGAGCAGAATACAGCCACTGTAGACTCAGACCCATTGCCTGTCAAAGACAGATTAAACTATTAGATAGTTCATTAGATGTTATGTTTCTTTAAGGGCACTAATCACACACTCTATAACCCTGGGTTAGCCAGCACTCACTACAGTTGCCCAGGCTGGCCTGGAACTCCAGACAATCTTCCTACCTCAGCTTCCTGAGTACTGGAATTAGATACTGGATTAGATGTAGAAATTATACTACATCTATATGTTACTATATACATCTTTCCAGTTTAGATTGGACCATTATTAATTCTAAAAGAAATGACTCACATGTAAATTCAAGACCCAAAAAGCTACACTTCAGCACCTTATATCAGAGGCCCTATAAACTACAGTAATAAATTCATTTTTGAGCCAGAAAGATAATTCAATTATCTATTTTTAGCCTCATGTAGAAAGTAATATGAAATTCAGCATAATTAAGAAAAAAGCATATATGGTTTCCAGTTTAATTTCCCTATGGGGGAAACTTCCAACACTTTGATATTACTTGAAAATCTTTTTCTATTTAGTAAATTCCATTTTCTGAACAGTTTATTTCAAGAAACCCATCATAACTAAGATCCAGTAACTGTTTTGAAGGGATCTAAATGATCGACTCCTAGTCCTGGCAGAAGCAGGCAGACCTTGAGGACAGCCTGGTCTACAGTGAGTTCCAGGACAGCTAAACGCTACACAAAGAGATGATCACTGTCTAGAAAACCAAAAAGAAGTTTATCTAGTCAAGTGTTGTAATGGAACCTACTGTTGTGGAATAATCTTTTTGTATACCGTGAAGATGTGTCACTGTAATTGGTTTAATAAAAAGCTGAAAGGCCAAGATAGCTAGACAAGACTTTCAGGCATGGAGAAGCAAGTCAGAGAGGATGAATCTAGGTACGCAAAGAGACACCAATGATGTGTGTACTAAGTCAGACATATGGTAAGAGATAAAAAAGCCACGGGGCAGAATATAGATTAACAGAAACAAGTTAAGTTAGAAGACCTAGTTGGAGACAAGCCTGAGCTAAAGCTCAAGCTCTTATAATTAATAAAAAGTCTCCATGGCACTTTTTGAGTGCTGGCAGTCCTGACAAAAAGATGCTACTACAATCTATGCTAGAGGAAAAAAGCAAAAAGCTGCTGTAACTGGTGGTCCACAGCTATAATTCCAATATTTGAAGGTTGAAGCAGAGGACAGTTCCAAGTTCAAGGCCAGCCTGGACTGCATCAAGATTCTACAGAAAACTACATGTGTACACACACATAATCGAATTTCATAGATGAATAGAATGGCAGTTACCAGAAGCTGGGGAAGTAGCAAGGAGGAGGGGTAAGGGCATTTAAGTAGAGTAAAATATAGGCCAGTTAAAAACTGAGTCACTTACCTTGATATCTGCTCTGAATTGGTTCAGCTCCTTCACAAATGACAGTATCTTGTTGTTATACATATCATAGTCCAGGTTCAGTTCAATGTCATGGGTAAGTTTAATTATGAACTGACCAGCTACTTCTGCTGCTGCACGAACCATTTTGTTCAGCTGAGGAACTTTCTGAATTAGTTTCTCATAGGTATCCAAATTAGTGTCCAAATAAGGATAGTCCTCATTCTAGAAGACAAAGAAAGGCTATTTTTTATATGGGTGAGAGCTAAGAGCAGGGGCCTTACCTTCTGGGTGTACCATCAAGGTAAGAGAGCATGTAAGAAAGCACAGTGTTCTAGTCCAGAACTCATATAGTAAAAAGAACTCACCAGTTGTCCTCTGACCCCCATACACACTGGGCCTAACATATGCCCACAAACACAGTAACCCTTTCTTAAGTAAAATAAATCCCAGTCATGTCAATCTCCAAATCTAGGTGTTTCATTATTCCCTAGACTTTCCAAAGTGATTCAAGCCCACTTGGGTCCTAGCCTCTAGTGGATCAATAACTGATAGTTAATAATTCTGTCTGCTCTGCTTGGCTTTCAGTGCCTTCTCACTGGCTTTTATAACAATGTGATCAGTTCAACATTGTCTCAGTTACCCTACACTTATTTAGTTGCTGCTTAAGAGAACATTTTTCAGCACCTGGAATACTTTCAATGGGTATCTAAAATAATTACAAGTTAAAGAACATCTTAAATACTGAGAAATTTGGTTTTAATCATTATAAAATCTAATGAAAATGTTTCTGAGTTCTTCAGTCTTACCTCACAAAACCAGAAAGAAACTGCTGGGATTCCAGAATATGCAAGAAAGGGGAAAGCAGCATTGTCAAGGGAAAGATCCTCACTGAAAGGAGAACAAGAGCAATCTTTAGCAAGTATTCTGAAACAGAGACCTACCAGGCAGCACCCTTCCCTGATAACCAAGTCCCCATGGGTGGAACTGGGCTTAGGATAGAGTAGGCTTAGAGCCCCGTCTACTTTTCTCAACGTACACTTTGCTGATCCAATTGCTGTCTCGATAGAGAGGTTTCCCATCAATTGGATGTCTTACCTATAAAATGAGAAATAGTTCATTAAAACCTAATTTTTCTGTTAATTCAGGCTAGTCACTAACATTCTTTTCTCTACAAATACTTAAAAATCTCAGTTATCCTACCTGGCTACACTATCAGTCCCTTAGGAAGGGTGTAAGTCTCTTCTGAATGCCTGCCTGCCTTTCTGCTTTCCTTCCTGTGATATAGTTCTAAACTATAACTTATAGGTGTAATAAACATACTTTCTAAACCCCCTCTCACCTACATAATCATGCCTGCCTTCTTTCTGCTCACTTCTTTTTTCAAAGATTTATTTATTATGTGTATAGTGTTCTGTCTGCATGTATTGCTGTAGGCCAGAAGAGAGCACCAGATTTCATTACAGGTGGTTGTGAATCATTTTGTGGTTGCTGGGAATGGAACTCAGGACCTCTGAAAGACCAGCTAGTATGTGCATTTAACCATTGAACTCCAGCTCCCTGCTCACTTCTCTGTATCACATGTTAGACTGCCAGACTAACCAGTAAATGCACTACTATCTTGTTTGAGATGCTAAAGTGACCGTAGATTCCCATTGGAACAAGGTCAATATCTAGTTGTTTCCTTCCATCTTTTAATCACTCCAACATTCTCTTCAATTATATTGAAGATTCTCTGCAAGCATTCTCTTCAATGTATTCTTTCCTCATTCAAAACTGTGATCTCAAAAAAAAAAAAAAAAAAAAACCAAAAAAAACCAAACAACAAACACACACACACAAAAAACAAAAAAACTGTGATCGATTGGCTTTTTCCAGTAAGTATTTTCTCTAGCGTTATTCAAGTCCTTCAAACCTTCCTTAGCATTCTGACTTAACAGTCTCCTATGAGTGCCTACAATAGTTCAGCTCTGAGGGTAATAGTCTAAAGATGATGTATTCTGAGAACCTTTCATATACTCCATCTCTCAGTTCAGTTCAGTACACTGAGGATCAATAAGCCAAGGACATGACTAATACCCCTATAGAATTTACTTTCAATTCCTATCACTGGTTACTGATGAATGTTTTCGGTTTGGGTTTTGTAACTAGGTATACTCACGTCCTGCATTGTCTTCTCAATAAGTGTATATAATAGAGGGCTGGCAGAAACCTTGAAGTTTCTAGTACCTGTAAACAAAGTATTGTTAACATTTTTCCCTGACAAAGACAGGACCCTAGGTCTGTGGCCCTATACAATAACTATTAATAAAGTGGACATTTAAGTTAGGAAGTCAGCTGAGTGTAGTAGCACATACCAATCTCAGCACTTAAGAGGCAGAAGCCAGCCTGGCCTACATAAACTGCCTCAAAAACAAAACAAAAAAACTTAGATACTCTCAATATGTAATCTTGAATCAATATGCAATCTTATAATCAGAGATCTGCCGGCCTCTGCCTCCTGAATGCTGGGATTACAGGTGTATGCCACCACACCTGACTTACATCTGCATTTTACATAATCCACACTACTGGTTCTGTATCTGAAACTTTTATTGGATCCCCCATTCCAATTTCTGACTCATTATGGTCTAAGAGATGGTTCAGTGGATAAAGGTATTTGTGGACAAGCCTGAAAACCTGAGTTCAATCCCATAGACCCAGATGGTGAAAAGGAGAGAACCAACTCTCAATTATCTTCATGTCTTTAATCCCAGCACTCAGGAGGCAGGGCAGGTAGATCTCTGTGAGTTTGAGGCCAGCCTGGTCTACAGAGTGAGTTCCAGGACAGCCAGGGCTACAGAGAAACCCTGTCTCAAAAAAGAGGTCTGCTGTTCCCCACGCAGTTTACTAAAAAACTAGGAAGGGATGCTTACTTACCAAGGACAACTTTATCCAGATTAATATAAGTGAAAGCTTTCAAATGCAGAGATGAAAGGTATCCCTAGGAGAGAAGAAACAATGACAATATTAATATCTCATACCTATTAATGTGTACATTAACTTATCACATAGAAAGCTACTGTTAAGGATCTACTTTTAAATCTTGATTCCATTGAGTCTTAGTATACTAGGACCTAAGATAGGTTCTGGAGGACACTTAGACTCACTCTGGACATAGAATATATAATACCTCTAGCCACTCGGTGGCACCAACAGCTCCGAAGTCTCCTGCACTCCAGCTGGCAAAGATAATGCTTCTGCTGGGTTTAAACCCACCTGGAAGAGACAAGAAATTAGGTTCGCCTTCAGAGTGGGTATAAGCAGGTGAGTAACTAACTGAAGATAAATTCAAGATTCAAAAACCCACTAAGAACAGAATCCTAAGGTAATCTTTGTAGGACAGCACCTGTATATTAATTACAACACTTTGAGCACATAACAGGCACACATTATTGGTGGTTACTCCCTCATCCTCTGGACAGTTACTGAGTTGCAGTATTGAGTTATGATGTATATCCTCTTTGAGGACAATCTGCTTAGAAGCAAGTCACTTAAATATGGATTATTTACCTTATTCTGAGACAATCTACCTTATCCAGGCTTACTTTAAATTCACAAGCAATGCCCCTACTTTATGCTCCCGAGTAGCTGGGACTACAACGCCACCGCACCAGACTATACCTATAAGTAAGTTTTAGGAAGTCTCCAGAGGACATACTTTGTGACAACTCCTTTAGGCAGTACATGTTCCACAGCCCACCAACTGCCCTGTTTGTATTTTTCTATGTTAACACATTCTGTCTAAAAGTGCCTCTTTAGACCTCAATTATATTGCATGCATAGCAAGGTACCATGAGAGAATGTCTTGGAAGTAATATTTAGTTGTTAATTTTAGTACATTATATAAAGTATGGGATTATTTTCAAGTAAACTCCAAGAGTCATGTTAGATTTATTTTTCTGTACATGTTGGACTAAGAATTACGGCTTATACTAAATACAGTTTCAGAGAATTAGATGATTGCTAGTTCAACAAAGACACTTCATGGAGAAACATTTCCAAGTCATGAGTCAGTGAAAACAAGACTGTTTAAAAAATCTGCCATAAGATGTAAAATGTCTACGGCCATACCACCCTGAATGTGTCTGAATGTAAGATTACAAGTTAAATTCAGCAACGCAGAATGTAACTGCTAGGATGACATGGAGCTCACAATGTGTCAAGGTCAGAACTTTTCTGCTGTACCTCTTGAAACCATATCTGAGAATGCTTGGGCAAGTTTCAACAGAAGACCTGTTCCCACACTGGATTTTGCAGCACCAGGACCCCAGGCATCTCTCTGGGCACCTACTACAATGTACCGGTCTGAAAAACAGAAAAGGGCAACACACAATCATACTGTTTTTATTCTGAGACAAGGCCTCATCAGTAGCACAGACTGGCATCCAATTTAGGATTCTCCCACCTCAGCTTCCTAGCACTGGAATCAAATTGGGAATCATATAGTAGGTATGCTATCATGTCCAGCTTTTTTTGTATTTAATTTCAAACTGGTTCTAATAAAGAAATCTAAAATAAGCATGTCAGGTACAAAGGATAAAAGCCTAATTTCAGATGATTTAGGATTCCAGTTTAGGATTAAATTTCACAGGACAGTTGGGCTGTGGTGGCACACACCTTAAATCCCAACACTCAGGAGGCAGAGGCAGGCAGGCAGGCGGATCTCTGAGAGTTCCAGGCCATCCTGGTCTCCAGAGAGAGAGTCCCAGGACAGGCTCCAAAACTACAGAGAAACCCTGTCTCAAACCCAAAACAGTCACAGGATAACCACTACTTCCTCAGCCATTCACGATACTACTCTTTGACCACATCAGCCATTTAATAATAACTGAAGTCCAAGGACTTCCATATTCATCAATTGTGACTGTGTTTAATGCTGTCTATCCCAGGGACTGTACCCTGTTCACTAATCTATTACATACTAGTTATGCTGTTTTTATGCTTCATGGGCAGAACTGGATAGTTGATAGTTTCAATGTATATGATCCCTTAAGAAAACCACTCTTCTAAAAAAAGAAAAAATGCTTACTTATGAAGCAGAGCTTCTTCTATCCATAATGGTCAGTTCCAACAAGCTGACATCGCAAAGCCTTGTTTTTTATTTATTTTTTTTTTTGGGGGGGGCGTTTCAAGGCAGGGTTTCTCTGTGGCTTTGGAGGATGTCCTGGAGCTAGCTCTTGTAGACCAGGCTGGTCTCGAATTCTTCCAATGCTTTTAAGTCTAATTAGCTTTAGTGGGGCAGACTATAGAAGATAACTGCTGCCAAGCCTGAATTTGATTCCCAGGAGTTCAATGCCCTGGACCTAGATGGACACATCTCTTGCAATTTCTCACTGACCTCCACATGCTGTGGCACTCATGCATCCACACACACATGAAATGTAGCAAAATGTTTAAATGACTAGAGGAAGATAGCTGATGCTGAACTCTGGCCTCTACATATGCCTACACGGTCATATATGTATGTAAGCACACAAATACATACACACAAAATTCCCTTTAGGGAAAACAAGATTTAGCACTTCACAAAAGCAAGGCAAGCCAGCATCTTAACCTTCTTCCTTCCTTTCCTAGACACACCTAGAGTAAGCAAAACACTAAGAAAAGTACAGGGCAGGGTCTGTACCTGGTTCCTCAAATCCTTTAATAACTCCAAAGATGTTAAGTATTCTTGTTTCTTTCAGCACGTTGTTCACAGAGAGGTTCACATTTATACCCTGTGAAGATTCTAGCTTACACAAAGAATCTGTGTTCCAACTAGGAGGACAGTTTGTTTCCATGTTTCTAGAAATAGAAAAAAAGGTATTAGCATCCTGAGCTATTTTTCTCTGGTTTACAAATCCATAATCTGTCCAGAAAGGTTCTACATTAAAAGACATAGCTATCGTTAGATTGCATTTAAAATACATGCAAAGACAGATCCATAATGAAAGCTTCACAGGAATCTGTTAGTATATTTTCATGTTTCCCAACCCTTCCATTAACAAAGGCACTTTGTATTCTTACAACATATTGATGAATTGATTTTAAGGAAGATGGTGAATAGGACTCCAAAGGTTCAGAGACAGGTATTGGGTAGAACAAGTTATTGAGAATCACCCAACACTGGGGCTTCTCAGGATTTTGAGCCGTCTAGTGCTTCACAAAGCCCTCACATACATAAAAATGCTCCTTATTTTTGACCACTCTATTCACTGATATATATTTTAGTTTTCCAACTAAATTGAAAAAAAAAAAAAAAAAAAGATCAGAGGGGTTAGAATAACCTGTTCTGTGTTACACAATAAGAAGTAACAAGTCAAGATAAAGTTTAATGATATACTTTTTTTGGAGAAGGGATCTACCTCACTATGAAGCCCTGGTTGCTATATAAGTTTGGCTCGTCTTGACCTCAGTGATCCATTTGCCTCTGTATCCTGAGTGCTGTGATTAAAGGTGTGCACCACCATGCCCAGCTTAGGTTCTATTTTTAGAAAGAGGTACTTGTAAATGAGGGAGGACAACCGAAGTATTACCACAAAGCAGCTACAAACTGTCACTAGAATAATTCTGTGCTGCTAAATGAAAATTCAGAACTAATGGTTATCCACATGGATTTAGATGTCAGGACAACAGGATCCAACCAATTTTCTATAGTAACCGAATAGGAATAAGGTGTTTCACTGAGTGAACTGAGTTTACAAGTCCCTTATCAAGATCATTTTACTGAGGAAAATTTTTTTTTCATATATACAAGTTAGCAGTTAACTATCCCCAAATTCCCAGATGCCAACTGTTTTATGTTATTTAATCAACTTTGGCTATTAGCATTCTTGCATAATTACAACCTTACCATATTAAGAGCTTTCAGACACACTTACTGAAATAGCTTTTCTGCAGCCTTTCTTGAGATCGTCTGAACAGGTATACTAGGTAATCCTGATGACTGAGATGGTGGAAACTGAGTATGATTGAAAGATGGAAACCCAGGTGTGTATGGATCACCAGTTCCTAGATGAGCCTAGTAAACAGACAACAGTTAGTTCTAACCACTTAGTCAAGAAGTTGCCCTTAAGACTCAGATATGGTCTGAGGCTATATATAGCCCAAACCATTTAGGAACCTAAAGCCTCAAAATCTAAGGATTTCTATAAAATGCCTTAAAAATACTGTATACAGAAAAATTTCAATTTAAGGTATTATCAATAAAGCATTCAGCAATTATCTTCTCTTTCTTCTAAAAGTCTCCTGAGAGGATCTAAGAAAGGCACAGTAGATGCAATGCAAGAACATCTAGAGAACATGGACTCCAGAAATAACTCACATGTCCAAAGAGTGAAAGTTCTGCTTCAACAACAGGGAATTTAGTCTGGTCCATGTATATCAGGACACCAATTGCATTAAAGCTTTGGGCATTTGCAACCTGAAGAACACAGAAAAGCAGAACATGAACATCTGTTCACACAAAATGAAAATTAACACATACTGGAATTTATGCTAAAGGGCAAACTATTAGAGAGGCATCTTCTTCACCAGGGAAGAGCACACCAATTATTTATACATGCCAAATGGTCAGTCCTAAAGATGTAGATACAGGAATTAGACTGACTGAGCAAGTTGTATTCATATATTTACACACACACACACACACACACACACACACAAGAAAATTATTATGCAAAAGAGGACATGAATAAAGATCAAGAAAAGGCATATAGGTAGGTTTGAAGGGATGAAATGGAAGGGGGAAAATAATCCACAAAAATAAGAATAAGACCAACATATTTAAAACCCATACTTACCTTTTCTGCAAAAGTGATTTTCCCTGCTCTAACAATCACTAAAGATCCATTCACAGGATACTTTAAATCTTCAAAGTCTTTTTTAGTGCCAAAATTAGCATGGATCAGTTTACCCTAGGATAAACACATTAGGTATAATGAGGATCATCATATCAAAACTACTATAATCTGACAGACCAATTGTAAAAAAAGAAATCGAAGGGGTTGTGTGCATGCCTTTAATCCCAGTATTTAGGAGGCAAAGGCAAGCAGAACTCTAAATGTGAGGCCAGCCTGGTCTACATAGTGAATTCCAGGACAGCCAGGGATACAGAGAAGTCCTATTTCAAAAAACAACACCCTCCCACACACACACACACACAGAAATTGAGAAAAAAAAAGGGGGGGCCTTAAAAAATCAAATCCCAAACTGACAGTTCTTAGCAAAAACTAAGCAGTGTTATTAGAAGTGAAAAATCCAAGATTTCCGGCCTTATGTTTTCTATATCTCATTCTCCCTTTACACTCAGTTATGTCTAGGGTAAGTATACCAGAATAAACAGAAATAGGTCAGGCATGGAAGCACCACTTACATATTTCCACATCTGAATCTCAAACAGCTGAAAACACAGTAATAAATACTGTGTGTTAGAGGTCAAAGGACAACCTAAGGTAGTGTAGGTACTGTGCTATTCAGCTTTTCAGCTTGACAGAAGCCAGTCATCTGAAGGAATCACTGAACTGGGGAAGGCTCCCTTGCAGGGATGTCTGTAGGCCATTTCCTTGATGTGTGACTGATGTGGAGAAGATTTAATAAAGCCTTTCCTTAGGTGGGAACATGCTTGAATGTGTGCACACGAATAGGAGCAATGCAATGGGGGCAGTCTGAGCAATAAGGAGCAAGAGTTAGGGCAGCAGTTCTCAAACTGTGGGTAGTGATGACCATTAGAAACAGATTGAGAACCTCATCATCAGTTAACGTATACCACCTGGACATCTAATTTCCTTAATGGAGACAGGGGAAAACAGTCACACGCACTGTTTTTACTTACAGAAACTGTTGTAGCTTTACTATATGCCACATAGCCCCCAGGATTCTCCACTAGGTCTGAGTCACCATTTACATTTATTATGGTCACCGCGTTTTGAGCAGCACTAAAAGATAATAAAAAAGTTAAAGCCATCTTTGAAGAAAAATTCAATAGCTTTAGTACACATAGCATTTGATTTGTATTGATTGGCTTAAGGAAACTGATCTCTAAATTTTAACCTTGATTTTCATTTTGAAAGCCTGATCTACTGAACATATCTGAAAGCAGTTACTTTTATAAAATAAGCTACTTTATTTCAACATACCTGCCTTTCACCTGAATCTTCACATAATGTTCATCTCGCCAGACTTTGCTGAGTTTAAAGTCACGGAACTGATTTTCAATATAATAGGCAAGATTTTCATCTTTTTGAGATCCTGCCTCCCGAGAGGTCTGGCTCAGCTGCCTGTAAGAGAAAGGTTTTAGTTTAGCTTTGTTTTTGAGACAGGGTTTCTATATAGCCCCGGCTGTCTTGGGAACAAGAGATCAGTCTGCTTCTGCTTCCCAAGTGCTGAGACTAAAGGCATACATACACCACCACCAGCCAACTAAAAATGCCTGCATTAAAATACCTATTTTAGACCAGATTGGTCATGTTCAGGGTGGTACGGCCGTAGACTAAAATACATATTTTAAGTAAACATTTACTTCAAGGATCAAGCAAACTGTTTTAAAACATTGTTCATAGTCAGGCTAAATGAACTATGACTCAAAACTGCTGGATTAAGCGGTTACAGAGAGAAATAAAATGTATCAATGCCTTAAGTAACATATTCCTTCAAGCTTGTTTTAAAAACAAAAATCTATTACCATGAAGATTCCCTTAAAAGACTCAGCCTAACCCGTATATTTTAGTAAATGATGGATAGTTTCTAGGAGACCTGAAGCAAGGTCAAACAGCTTATAGTAATGATGAACACAAGAAGTACTGCTCACCACATACATATAGATACAAATCAAAAAAAGTTTTAAAGAGGGCTAGAGAGATGGCTCTGTGGTTTACAGCACTTCTTGCTCTTACATAAGACCCAGTTTCAATTCCAGCACACATATGGTGGCTCACAATCATCCATAAGACCTCTCTCTGTAGGCTCCAGGCATGAATGAGTATGATGCACACACATACAGGCAGGTAACACTCATACATATAAATTTTAAAAACCTAAATTTATTTAAAGATTATTTCAGAAAGGGAACATTAGAACAGAAGAAAACCTAACAGCCCACAATAAACTACAGGTGACAAAATGATTCGGTAGAGAAAGAAAGGCGACTCTCCAGATGAGTTGCTCCTTACACTCAAGCGCAGGGGACCCTCTGAAAGCCTTTAAAGTATGCTCTGCCCCCAATGAACAGTTTAGATAACTGAACTTGGCAAGTTGAGGCTTACTTGATGGTGTCAGTGAACTCTATGGCATCCAGCTTCTCTGACAACAGTTTTTTGAGGTCTGCCCAATATAAGCGAGAAGATTGAGGAATGTTTTCTTCTTGGATGATTTCTGAATTGCCTGTCTCCGTTTCTGCCAGTCTTACACAGTCTTTTTGTTCTGTGCGTTTACAATAGCCTAGGTAGCCAATCATAAATCCTAAAGACAGAAGTTTTAGAGCTAAGTTCACAGACTTCATTTGTAATTTATCCCTGAAAATGTTACCTTTTAATTAAATGCTAAGGGTCTGAAAGAACATCTTGAATCTCAGCTTTATGGAATTTTAAATTACCACAATAAGTCATATTATTTCATACAGCAACCTGTTCAAGACATAGGTGAGAACACCTTGATTTACTAGAAGCTATCCTTGAAACTGTTCCAAATATCCTGTGTATATTTCCCTCCCTCCCTCCCTCTCTCTTCCTCTCCTTCTCTCCCCCTGCCTCCCTCTTTGGTTTTTCGAGACAGGATTTCTCTGTGTAGCTTTGTAGACCAGGCTGGCCTAAAACTCAGAGATGCACCTGCCTCTGCCTCCCAAGTGCTGGGATTAAAGGCGTGTACAACCACCACCCGGCTTCTGTGTATATTTCTAACACAACATCCATAACTTAAATAATAAAAAAATGTACAATACAAAGATCTCCTGGACTGACATAAGACTTCTAATAGTTGGTCATAAGAAATACTTTTTAATTTCTTAAAATACATTCTTACCAATCAAGAAAAAGATGACTACTGCAATTGTCCCAAAGCAGAGTCTTCCATTAAGCCTTCTATGTTTTCGGACACTGGCCTTCATGTTATTGTCAGTGTTTTCTTCTTCATCTACAGCCAATTTCATCTCCACGTGACTGTTATCTCCATCTACTTGCCGAGCCAGGCTAAACCGGGTGTATGACAATGGTTCTCCACCAAACTGATATTTTTTTGAAAAGGAAAGTAATACAAACAGCATTAATACATTACAAAGTTTGGTCATATACTATGTACATTAGTATAGGATGACATACATTCATAAGGGAAGCTACCATTCCCAACTAATACTCTTCTTTTGTGCCCAATTCTGTCAATGGCAAGTGAAGGCTAGCTAACAGACTTTCAATCAGCCTTTCCAGGGTTTCTAGTTTGTAAATTTCCTATAACCTTTTCTAATTAATTTTTTTTTTTAAAGAGATGGGGGTCTTACCATGTTACTCAGACTGGCCCTGAACTAGGAAGCCAAGCAATCCTCTTGACTCAACCTCTAGTGTAACTGAAACTATCGGCACATTTTAGTTCTACCTAGCTACATAACCTTTCCCAAACAGCCAATGCTACCCTATTCTTACAGTGTCACTCACAATTAATCTTAATTGAAACTGAACATCTTTGTATGTGGGTGTTGTGATCCCTGCCTCTATTTTCAGCACTTGGGAAACAAAGATTGAATTCAAGGACAACCCGAGACTACACAGCAAAACCCTGTCTCAAAAACATAAAAGCAGAGTATTACTTTCTTTTGTGAGACCTATCATACCTCAAGACCACTAGATCAGATAAAAGAATGCCTGGTAAGAATTTGGGGTGTTCTTTGCTGCACACTGGGTAAAGTATGTTCTTTTATTGCATTTTTACAGATAGATGAAAATCTTACCAAGTTAGAGATTGCTGATCTGGCTTGATCCATCATTCTGAGCTGCCACAAGGAAGCACCTAATATTAGAACAGAGAATTAATATGAGAGAGTTTCAGGACAGGCTCCAAAGCTACAGAGAAACCCTGTCTCAAAAAACCAACCAACCAACCAAACATACAAAAAACACACTGGAGTATGTACTGGGGGGTTGGTGGTATCCAGGCCTTTAATCCCAGCACTCAGGTGGCAGAGGCAATTAGTTGGAGGCCAGCCTAATCTAAAGTGAGTTCACAGACAGCCAGAGTTTTTACACAGAGAATCCCTGTATGTGTGGAGGCGGAGGGGGGGCTCGGACAGATATAGGATTCCTAAGCCTATTCACCAATATTCTTGAATCCCCATGCTTCAATGATTAAGTCATGTGCAAGTGATCATACGTGTTCTCAGAAGCACAATCTCTTGCCCCTTCTGTTACTAAGTTTATCACTACCACTGCACCATCAACAGACCCAATTGCTGGAGCCAGAACTAGAAGGCCCCACCCTGAGCCAATTTTAATCATCCAGTGTACACTTTATAATGCTTGCCTGAAATAGCTATTCCTAAACTACTCTCATCTTCCAAACTATACTAGTCTTAAGTTGACATTTATTTAGCTTTGCAATACTGAGGATCCAACCAAGGAAGGACACTTTATCCATGGTAAGTCATCTACTGCTTCACCATTAATGTGATAACACATTTAATTAAATAAGTGACCTAAATAAATAAGATTGAGCATTTTGAGTCTGAAGAAAACAAGCTGGTGGCATTAACTACATTTGGCTTTATATAATCATAACCCAAGTGCATATTTCCCCCCCAAGAAATGTGTTATTTCAATTTTAATCTACAGAACCAAAATTTAAGAACAAAAAAATCAAGTCACAGCCTTTAATCCTAGCACTTTTGAGACAGAGGCAGGTTTATCTCCATGAGTTGCATGACAGCCAGGGATACACAGAGGCCCCTCTCCCAAAAAAAAAAAAAAAAAAAAAAAAGTCAGAAAAAATTATCTTAGGAAATCTAACCCCATCACTAAACTCTTGAATTTGTGAACAACAGAGTAATTCCAAAATAGCCACAAAGTACCAGACCTCAGGTAAAACAAATCCAGTAATGTGTAAAACTTAAGTCACTCACTTAAAATCTCACATGTTTAAATTTTTTGGGTTTTGGAGGCAGTGTTTCTCTATTAACAGCTCTGACTGTTCAGGATCTCACTTTGTGGACCAGACTGGGGTCTTGAACTCAAGAGATCCACCTGCCTCTGCCTCCCAGAGCAGTGCCCCCAGTGCTCAGCAACATAGCTTTATTTGTAAAAAACTCCTTTGAATTTACTTCCAAGTTAAATCACTGGATCTATATTCTGCAACCATGGCAGAGACATATACCAGCTAAAACACCATTCCAAATATAAGCTGGTAGCTGTTAATGGGCCACACAATTGCCAACAATCTTTGACAAGAGAAAATTAATCTTGATTTTTCTCACATTAGCTACTTATACTTCTTTGTTCCCAAAGATTAGGAAAACTATTCAATTCTAATGATAAAATTTAAGATAAAATAAAAACATAATTTCACATGGTTTGATCCATGACCTTATTAACTTTGTGCTGTGAGATGGTAGACAAGCAAAGATATTAGCCAAACCAATAATCTCAAACCAAACCATTTCAAAACCAGGGCTCTGTAATTAATATAGGGATGATGGGTGAGGTGAGGCACAGGCACAGGCAGAGGCAGAGGCAGAGTGAGATACCAAAATACCATGAAACAATAAGTCATTATATTGGTTCTGACAAGCACACTTCATTCCATAACCAATCACATTGAAAACCTTTCCTCTGAGGACCTGATCCAGATCTTCTGTCTCTTGTAAGTTCACTGCCCACTCACTATCTTCAAAATTAGAAAACACCCAGTCCCTGACTTTACCCAGCCTTTCTCTGTTCTTTGATATTAAGAAACACTACAGTCAGAATGACCTCAAACTCAGTGATCCATCTGCCCCTGCCTTGCCCAAAGGTGTGCGCCAGCATGCCCCCCTGTTATGGTCTGGTTTTAAGAGCCTAACTTTGCTGGGTGTGGTGGCACACCTTTAATCCCAACACTCTCTAGTTGGAGCAGGTGGATCTCAGGGTCCCAGGCTATGAATGGGTTCATAGTTTGACTCTCACTGGGGAAGTCTTTATGGGCTTGAAATGAAAATAAAGCTAGCAGGTCTTCACTTCCACACAGCTTTCTGAAAAGAAACCCAAAGGTCAGAACCACTGGGGGTGGGGGGGTGTCACTCAAGTTTATTTTGTATAACACTCATTTGGGAGGCCAGAGGTTCATTTTTAAGTTACTTTTATTGTTGTTTAATTCAAGGTTAGCCAAGAACCTTGCTCCATTACAGATAAGCACATTGCCACAACCATAACTGCCTAGCCTTAGGGTGGAGTTAGCCACACTTGATCTCTCTCTGTCCATAGTAAACACAGGCTAGGTTCAACCCATCATTCCTTGACAGCATTCCCATAAAGTGTTATGCTATATATAACCCTTTGAAAAAATATGATAATGGATTCCTGTATAAAGCAGAATTTTATTATAATCCCGAACAGAAAAACAAACAAAAACTAAGAGGAGGACCCACACTTAGGAGAGGCTAAACTCCATTTTCTTTGTAGATAAAGCCCTGAGTCAGCTTAAATGTCTCCGTCAAAGAGGTCATATTTCACAGTTCACAGCCATCTAACATTCCAAATCCATCTAATCCTAGAATAAAGGTATCAGGTAGCAGAGAATTTCTGCAACACGATTATTTCCCACTTCAACCCTCATATTAGAAAGAAAGAAAAAAAAAAGCCAAAGACACTAAACAGTCCAGTCCCCTGGATAAACAATGCATCAAGATCACTTCATTGTTCAGTGTTCAGCGACGAGTTTTTACCCTCCATCACTATTTTAGAGAGCTGTCCAACACTGTGAGCACGCTGACTCTTCTACGGTTATTTCTAAATAGCTCTTATAAAGACGACTTATTCCTACAGTCTCTCAGCTTGAGGGCCGCTAGCGACATTCTTAGTATCACCTGCAACGTTCAGATCTATCCTGCCCTGGAAAATGAGATTCCACACGCAGGGCCGAGGAGGCGGAGAGCCTGGCAAGAAAGACGCAGGTGGTACCGCAGTTCCAGCGTGCGGGTCTCGGAAACTCCCCAAGTGCCCAGGTCACTAGTCACGGAATGGAGCACAGCTCTGTCCCTTTCAGCAGTGGACGCCCGCCTG